ATTTAAGAAATACTATTCTTACTCCTCCCCACTGAGAAAACTGCCATTTTATTCCTGCTCTTTCTTTTCTTGTCAACAATCAATGAAAGGACAGTCCTCTTAATCCAAAGTTGTTGTTTTTTTTGAAAATCAAGGTTCACAATATCAACAGTCATTTCCATCTACATTCTCCAGGCTCATTGGAAGCTCAGGATACTTCCAATAAAATCAGAACAATAGTTTTAAACTTAAAACAGAGTGTTTCGAATTCAAAACATTTTGTGTACCATTAGGGACTATTACAAATTCACACTGGCGCCTATAGAGCAAGGGTGTTCAAACTCGAATTCATTGAGGGCCGCATCAGGGTTGTGTTTGATCTCAGGGGGTCAGATGGGCCATGCGCGACCCTCCCAGTCTCCGTTTTTGGCCACAATGGCTTCCTGCACCCCTCTCCATTTTTGCTGGCAGAGGCACTACACACCGGTCCTTTGCTATTTCCAGAGCAGCTCTGCAGGTCAGATCTAAGCACCCCATGGGCCAGATCCAGCCTTGAGTTTGACACTCCTGCTATAGAGGGATATTGACAACTTTGACGAAGTTATGTAAGAACCATGAAAAAAAATACAACTCAATTCTAGGGAAGAAAGTGAAAAAAATGAACATAACCTCAACTCTTAATCTTGATTGCTATACGAGGGGAAGGAGGATACTCTGGCAGACTTTAAAGATGCTATGATGTACGTACGATTCCTGAAATCCTTGCTCTGTTCTCTGACCTGGCCTCCATTGAAGAACTGACACAGCTATAAAGGTAGTAAAATTCTTCAGTTAAAAATTGATGTCTATTTCCTGAAGCTTCCTTTCTCTCCCCTGAGATGAAAAAAATCAAGATCTCAAACAGGATTTGTGCCACATAAGAGATTTATAAAGAAAAGGCCTTACCTGGTTTGCTTGTCTTTTAGACTCCTGCTGTTTACACAGAAAATCTTCGGCAAGATTTACAGCCCGAGCACAAGTTTCTGGGCCATGCTGCCTCACCCAGCTTTGGATCTCTGCAGGCAGGATCATCAGGAACTGCTCCAGGACCAGCAGTTCTAAGATCTGCTCCTTTGTGTGTCTCTCAACCTTCAGCCATTGACGGCAAAGTTCTTGGAGTTGGCCATAAACTGCCCTTGGACCCTTGGCCTCCAAGTAGCAGAAACATCTGAAGTGCTGGCGACTTTTCTCTCTACTGACAGCATCTCCTCTCAATAGAGCTGCCTTGACCTTTCCATAATCTCCTCTGTCTTTGCCTTCCAATGCATTGAAGGCCATCTCAGCTTCTCCACTGAGAGCTGGCAGGAGTTGAGTCACCCATTCTTCTTTGGGCCACTTACAGGCTTTGGCCACTTGCTCAAAGGAGACTAAAAAAGCTTTGGTATCATTCCAAGGTGTGGATGCTTCGGACAATTGAAGGCTTTTCAACCCAGAGGAAGGAAATTCCACTGTTTGCAGAAACTCTTGCCACTGGGCTTCCCAGTGATAGGCCAAATAGTCTTCTGGTTCTTCTTTTACTTGATGAGGAATTGTCCTTGTGGCACATCCTCCATTACTTACAGACCAAATGGCTTCTGGGCACTGATTTCCTCTCTCTATGCTCGGTTTGCAATCTAGAGCATCCTGGAGGATATTAAAGGCTTTTTCTGTTCCTGTGGATTCCAGCCTTTGTGGGTTGCCTGTGGGTTGCTGCTCCATTTTCATCCTTGAACACGCTTACAAAAATAACCCTGAGCTGTGGAATGGTGGGAAACAAGCCTTCTATGGTAAATGTAGTAATCTGGGCAGTTATGCTAAGCTTTTGCCCAGAAATAAAGCTGTAAACAGTAAGAAAAAATGAATGGCCCAGGTGCTACTATTGTTGATTAAATATACTGACTATAGAATAAATACATTTTAAAATTATATAAAAAATTATTTTTATTTAAATTTGTATAACAGTGATTGTGTGACCTCTACAGATGCCATACGCTAAATAAAATCAAAGAATGGGTAAAAAGTGTAAGAAATTTTATCTTCAGTATACCAATCCAGTTCCAGGCTATTACATGACAGATTAGCAGTGTGATAAAATATTACCATCACCTTCTATAGACTGCCCTTAGCAGTCTTAGTGTAAATACAGTAATTTAAAACATTAAAATCAACAGAAACTCACAGTAAAACCATTCAACACCCATGAAACCACCTTAAAAGCTCAATGAATTCAGTAACCAGGAATGCATGAAAAGAATACGGGAAAAAAAGCATTACTGTACGTTTAGACGCCGTATAGCAGCTTTTCTCAATCTTAAGTTTAAGGTGGGTGGACTTCAACTCCCAGGATTCCCCAGTCAGTCCATCCATCTTAAACTTGTTGAAAAATACTGCGCTAGATAGACAGACATCGTCGGTCCTCCTCACCCCAGCCCAGCCCTCTCACTGGAAACCGCCCCCGTCATGCTCTCCTTTTCGCCCCTCCTTCTCTCGGAAGGCAATTCTTCCAGCTCACCTCTCCGCGCTACCGTCTCATTCAGATTTTCCTCGTCTGTTGCTCATTTTCAGACAAGACCCTGACAGCTCTTTGAAGCTTTTTTTCCCCCCCAATGAAAGGGCATTCATTGGTGAACATAGAGATAGGGAAAAATATAGTGTCACCGAATGCAGAGCTTGCCATTAAATTTCCGGTTTTGTATACACGTCTTTTCCTTAACTTCATCAAGGGCGGAAGTAGAGGCTGCATATTCAATCCCAGGGGGGAAAAATGGATCTAACAGACCTTTTTCGTTGGTGGTGGGTTAAAATTAAAACAGGTTCTCCTGTACTGTTATCGCGTTAATCTTAATTTTCCTTATGGTGAATTAAGACCTTCCTAATTGTGTTTGATTTTATCACCTGATATTCTAGAGTTTGATTTTCCAATAATTAAAATAATTTGCCTTTTTAACCGGTGAAGTCCTTGGTGCTCTCTGAGATTGGTTGTTTGCTTGCAGAGATTTCATTGCCCAACTAGGTAACAGCATCAGTGCCTATGTAACTAATCAGTACGCTTATTTTTTATGTTGCAGGGATTTGGATTGTACAGCATCACTGACTGGGCTACAGCATGCTCATACAGGAACTCAAAAGTACGGGGAAAATAACAGTTAATGCTTTCAGTAACCAAGGCCTCCTTGCATATTAGCTTTACCAGAAATTTATCAACAATTATTGATCATTATTAAGGATAATTAACATTTTTATTGATAGCAAATGGTTAATAATTGGTTCATATTAATGTTGTTTGCTTAGCTCGTAAGATTAAAACACGACACACAAATGAATAGGCTTTCATCAAAAGCTTCCGATTAAGAAGTGAAACGAGAAATACCAAGTAAAACTAACAGTATTAGAATGGCCACATTGAATTCTACTCAGCAGCTAATGTACTTTGGGAGAAAAAATAAGAGTGGTCTTAGCTGAGCCAGATGTACAGGTCCTGAGACTAACACAATGCAGTTTGTAAAGCATTCTGTATACTAATCTGAAGACAATTTAACAGTGTAGCCTACAAAAAGTGATTATGGGGAAAGAGTTTTGATCACCATGTTGTGGAGAAAATGGTCACTTTACCACTTTACACAAGGAACTGAAATGTTTGGAGATAAATGAAATGCAATGTTTTTAATTGACCTGCACTTGACCATTGGGCTTCTGGCCACAAAAATGAGACCTAATATAAGCAGATTATGGACTATATAACTCTGAGTTGTTACATGAGAAATTTTAAAAAGGCTTTGTAAATCACATTGTGAGCTTTATAGTGGGAATGCAGCATCTAATAAAAACATAGGGTGTCCTTACTATGGTCTGAAGCATTGCCTTTAAATGCTGTGTAAGAGCTCCAAATCATCCACTTTTTCTGATATTAGCAACTTCTAAAGAGTTTTCTTTATTGTACCCATGTATTCTCTCATTTCACATCTGGGGAAGGGCAGCTATCTGGTTTCTGTTATTTAGCCTGTTCCTTTTCAGATCATCAAGCTATTTTAGTTCTGCTTGGTCTACATTTCAGAACCCAAAGAAAGGGTGAAAAGCTAGTTATTGCCCACCATCCTGAGCAGAATGCAAGTTTCATTCACTACAGCATACCACCAAGAATATCCAATTGAGCAAAGTGAACTGGATCACTCAGTGTTCTTGGTCCACCTAGTTTTCTGAATCTCCATAATGTACCCAGCTATAAACTAATCCACCAGGGTAGGTTCACACAGCATGCTAGGCTATAATGTGGGTAAAGAGTTATGATTAAACACAACCAATCACCCAAGAGTTTTGAGAAATGTTTTATCCCAGACCCTTGTTGATCCAAGGTTCAACAAGGGATAAAACATTTCTCTATACCCTTTTACAAGTATTTAATATGTTTATAAATGGCTATATTCAAAAGATACGACCAAGGGGTGCAAATGGGTATAGAAAATATTGCCCTAATATTTCTGGAAAAAAATGCATTTATTGTAGGTAACCTAGCCATGTATGCATTTTCATCCATAGCTACCAAATAAACTAATAGCTTATACTAGTGCGTCAACTTCTTTTATTGACCCTTCAGAACGAAGTTTCAAAAGAGGCAGCCAGTCAAAAGATAACCAATATGTACTATAAGAAAGGAACTAGAATCTGTCCCATCTATTTCAAGATCTGAGTTAAATTATTTGTAAATGGATGCTAAAAGGTGTTTCTTATATGACTACGTTCCCATAATCATTTCTGTAAAGCTTTCTAAAATATTAGCTTGTTCTACAGCGAATATACTTTTTAAATGGAATGACCATACAGTATTTGCTGTTCAAAAATAAGAGCGTACTTCCTCCATGGTCACTAGATATTTACAATGAGTGTCAATGTAAATGTAGAGGAGCATTTAATGTTAGTTCAATAAAAAAAAAGGTCTCTGAAAATATTTTACTCTTCTGTTTCTGTGCTCTACTATACAAAGACTACACTGGTTTCTTCTCAAATACATTTGAGGATGACTGCTTTTTATTAAAGAATCAAAGGAAACCAAATAAGCTTCACATATCAAGCTGTATTAAATATGACTGTCACATAATTAACACATCAGCATTAACAAACATAAATTACAATATTTGAGAGTCAGAGTGGACAACTCTCTACAATGGTAAGGATAGTAAGAACAGTTCATCCAGCCACATATTCCAGCTTGCCAGATGCCTCAAACCACTTCTGTAGACAGGTATTTAATCCAACTGAAATGAGAAAAAAAAGCTGTCAAAATGACATGTGATAGGCTTACCAACATAACTCACTCAGAACTTACACCTTCTCCTCTTTAATGTCACAGCTATTTTGCATAAATAAGCATTTTCAGTTGTTCATTCCACTTTCGTAACAGCTCCATCCCTTTTTAAGCTACAATGGCTGTCATTGCACTCTCATCTGCGAAAGCCTGTCAGTATGCCAGTCTTTCCCCACCTCAGCACACATTTCCTAGAATTCCACAGGCACCACTAGCATTATTGAGAGTATTGGGAGTTGAAGTCCTGATCTATGGAGCTTATATACTCCAATCTTTCTCAGTCGCTGTTAAAATGCAAGCCCCAGCAGCAAAAGTAATATAATTCACCATTATGCAGACCATTATCAAGAACAGTTTTTCATGATGGGTGGGGGAAGTCCTTTCAAGTTAATTTATTAAGACCAGTGGTTTAGCAAACACGGGAATCATGGCTTCAAACAATATGAACAAACACTAAAAAAAGTGATAATTTCTATTCTTTACTATTTTTAGACACATGAAGTTGTCTTTTCCTTTCCTCCCTCACAGATCATTCCCCTATTTATTTATCCAAACATCCAAAATACACTATTTAATCATATCTATCTATATATCTATATATGCGCCATATGTGTACATACCTATTACATAGTATACTGTATGTATAAGCACACAAAAAGATATATTATGTACTATATATACTGTACGTACACACACACACACACACACACACACACTTCTAAAACTTTACACATTCAATCTTTTACTTGAAAACACACCGAGTCCACTTTCTCCCAGACATTTAACTGTAACTGCTGTACATTAGAACACCACAAACACCATCAGATTTACTTCCCTAGCCTGCACATGACTGTTAGAGCCAGATGTTGTGAACTCTGGGCAACGAAGAGGGCATCAGCCGGCAGTGGGCAACCAAAATCGCATGGCATGGCAGGGAACTACACTGTAAGTTGAGCACTATCTGTACATTACTTTTTCCATCATATTTTTAACAGCCCTTGGGAGTCAGGATAGTGATGAGGAGTCCTGGGCATTGCGGGGCAACCGACAACAGCGGACCCTTCCAGAAGTGCATGAACATAAAATCCCAGAGCTTGAAGGGACCTCGGAGGTCATCTAGTCCAGCCCCTGTTCAAAGCAAGAGACCTGATACCATGCCGGTCAAGTGGTATTTCTGAAAGCCTTCAGCGTCGGGAGAAGCCACAGCTCAGGGAGGAAAGCTGTTCCATTGAAGCCTCACCTTAATGAAGCCGATGTCCTTGGCGTACTGGCGGAAGCACTGGCGACACATGTTGAGGCCGTACTTGCGGATGAGTCCGTGCCGGTTGGAGCACACGCGGCTGCGGAAGAGAGGAAGAGAGGCCGGGTGAGGCGGGCCCAGACGCTTCCCGGCTCCCCTCGTCCCAGAAGCACCAACCTCCCGCACTCTCCCCTCTCTGCTCCCGGGTGCCCCCTTCTCCCTCTCCCCTCCCTCTCCCTCTCCCCTCCCCTCCCCTCTCCCTCTCCGCTCCCCTCCCCTCTCCTCTCCCTCTCCGCTCCCCCTCTCCCTCTCCCCTCCCTCTCCTCTCCCCTCCCTCTCCCCTCCCTCTCCTCTCCCCTCCCTCTCCTCTCCCCTCCCTCTCCTCTTCCCCTCCCCTCCCTCTCCCTCTCCCCTCCCTCTTCCCTCTCCCTCTCCCCTCCCCTCTCCTCTTCCTCTTCCCCTCCCCTCCCCTCTTCCTCTCCCCTCCCTCTCCCTCTCTCTTCCCCTCCCCTCCCTCTCCTCTTCCCCTCCCTCTCCCTCTCCCCTCCCTCGCGGGTGCCGGGCGCTTCCCCACTTCCTGCGGCTGCCAGGCCCGGCAGAGAGGCCGGGGTGGGCCAGGCCCGTCGGAGGCCGAGCAGGGGGCGAGCGGGAGGTCGGGAGCCGTACCAGGAGCGCGATCCCTGGCCGAACTTCCTGGGGTGGCTCCAGTAGAGCTGCTGGTGTCCCATGGCGGCGGTCGCGTGTCTCGGACTGCCGAGAAGAAAGGAAAGGGCGAACGGCGCAGGCGCAGAGAGAGGGAGGGAGGGGGAGGAGCGAGGCGGGCGCTGCCCTCCCACCCTCGGGTGACGTCACGGAGCGAATCCTCTCTAAGTAAACTCGGGCGGGCGGCAGCAGCAGCCGGGCGCGGTGGCGCGAGCCTGTAATCCAGCTACTCCGGAGGCTGAGGCTGGCGGATCGCTTGAGCTCAGGAGTTCTGGGCTGCAGTGGGCTATGCCGATCGGGTGTCCGCACTAAGTTCGGCATCAATATGGTGATCCCCGGGGAGCCGAGGGCCACCAGGTTGCCTAAGGAGGGGTGAATCGGCCCAGGTCGGAGACGGAGCAGGTCAAAACTCCCGTGCCGATCAGTAGTGGGATAGCGCCTGTGAATAGCCGCTGCAGCGTAGCCTGAGCAAGACAGCGAGACCCAGACTCTTTTGCTCCCCCCTCCCACAAAAGCACCTTTTACGACCCTTTTTTTGTTTGTTTGTTTTAGGGGTGGGGGGGGCGATGGGGGGTCGCCAAGGTTGCTCCCCCCCCCCCCACCAGCCGGGTTCCCCGTTCGGTTCGCCCTGTTTCCCGCATTGCATTTCGCCACTCCCGCAGCACCTCCTAGCGGAAGCGGACGCCAATCGCTGCTCCCGCCGCCGCCGATTCCCCACTTTCTCCAGCAGGAATCGCTCTACTCGCCCGCTCAGCCGCTTCGCCGCCCTCTGCCTACCTTCACCGTCCAACGCGGGAAGAGGAGCCGGGCTCCTCTTGGCGCCCAGTTCGGACTCCCGAGGCCGTCGCGGTAGCCGAGAGCGAGGAAGCCGAGCGAGAGAGGCCCAAAGAGCTTTCGCCGCCTCTGCTCTTTCTCACTCCTGGGACCGAAGCGCCAGGCGCGAGCAGAAGGCGAGCCTTTTCCTTCGAATCGGGAAAGGAAGCGCACATTTCGGGGCCAATGGAAAGAAAACCACCACTTGGACAGGCAGCGGCAAGGAAACGCTGCTCGGGGTGTTGGCCAAATGCCCCTCGAGGGTCAAGTTGCGGCTTTGTGCTTTGTGGGAACCGGGCGACCCTCCTTGGGGGATGGAGGGAGCGTCTCCCTCTCAGTCGAAGGGCGGCAGAATCGCCGGTGGGCGCAAACAAGAGTGGGGGGTGTGTACATGTGTGTGAGACCCCGCAAAACTCCCTCCCCCCCGCAGCAGAGAACACGATGTCCTTCAGAAGTATTTTTTATTGTCTTCGCTGTCATGCGGAAAACACCACCAGTTGGACACTCAGCGGCCAGAAAACCCAGATCGGTATATTGCCCGAGAGTGGCGAATGTGAAGTTGCGGGTTTTTGCTTCGTGGGAACCAGCCGCCTCTCCGCGCGGGATGGAGGGAGCGTTTTACTCCAAGGCAGTAGAATCGCCGGTGGGCGCAAACAAGATTGAGACAGGGTGTGTGTGACCCCGCAATCCACGTTCGGCCTCTTTTTCCCAGTAGCACAAAACACAATATCCTTCAAAAGAGGCGCTTTTTATATTTATTCATTAATTTTGCCGATTTATTAAATTTATATACGGTCCATTTCGCTGTCTTGCTTACAATCCGATAAAACCATATTTATAAATGATTAAACAGTAGGACAATAAATATACTGCTCAAAAAAATAAAGGAAACACAAGCAGAAGACCTTCGAGATCTGAATGAATGAAATAGCCTTATTAAATACTTTGTTCTTTACATACAGTAGTTTATACACTGCTCAAACAACTAAAGGGAACACAAAACTACTGTATGTAACGAACAAAAGTATTTAATAAGGCTATTTCATTCATTCAGATCTCGGAGGTCTTCTGCTTGTGTTCCCTTTATTTTTTTGAGCAGTATATAACCTTAGCTAAATGGTGGGGTATACAATGGAGTGGCGATGGTATCTTCTATTTAATCGAAGATCCAGCCTCCATCTCTGCTTTTTGATGCCAGTGGAAGTCCCTGAAAAGGTAGCACTCAGGTGACATCCATGTTGCTGATTCTGTCCCAATTCTGGGTGGCACAGCAATGCAGAAGCTGCTCCTACCAGGAGGGATGGGGGGAGTGACTCTTATCATTAGAAAACAAAGAGATGGGGATGGCCTGCCTTCCTGGTCTGAAAGTTGTCCCGCCGGACAGAGGTTGTGGTGCACACTGATAGCCAAGAGATGGAGGAATATCACAAGCCTAGCTGGGAAGGTAAATTTTGGTGTCTGGGAAGCTAAAGAAGTTCAGGTAGGAAAAATGCTATTTCTCCTACTTGCTGGCAGAACTCTGGTGCGGTCATGTGGGGGGTTAGACAATCTGAATGGTTGGTGGAGCAAGCCTGGGGGTTTAGACCATAAGAGGCTTGTACCAGAGATGTCTTCAGCAGGTTCTGACCAATTCTGGAGAACCGGTAGTGGAAATTTTGAATCGTTCGGAGAACCGGTAAATACTACCTCTGACTGGCCCCGCCCCCAACTATTCTCTGCCTCCCGAGTCCCAGCTGATCAGGAGGAAATGGGAATTTTGCACTAACCTTCCCCTGCCACGCCCACCAAGCCAAGCCCACCAAGCCATGCAACACCCACCAAGCCACGCCCACAGAACTGGTAGTAAAAAAATTTGAATCCCACCACTGGCTTGTACCCTTTTTGGACCTGTCCTAAAGAGTTAGGGCCCAGTTGAATGAGAATGATTCCCACCAGGTTTTGGGGCCATTAATTCATTTATTCTGTTCCAACCAGGATAAGCTATATGTGGTTTACTAATGGGAAAAGGTGAATTGGGAAGGATCTGGCATTGAGATGACTTCCTGCAAATGTTCCGGGTCTTGTGAGGCCAAAAGCGAGGGAAGGAGAAGAGCGTCTTTTGAGAAAGCAGGAGATGACCTGCGGAGGAAAGTTCAAGGTCAAGTTTCCTTGGAATCAAGCTGACCTCCTGGTGACTTCCCAAGCAGCTCCTTGTAGTTTTCTTCACAACAATACAGATGTGTGTCTCTATTTCTATTGCTGCTTCCTTCCAACTTTGGGATCACAACTTGGGGATTTTCTAATAGTCTCCCATCCAAGGTAGAACCCAGCCAATCTCTGCTTGATTTTTCAACATCAGTTGTGGTCAGCCAAATGCAAGGGACCAGTGAGCGAAGGGGAGGGGTAGAAGAAAAGGGGAAGCGGGAATTGTTTGCAGGATTGTAAAAAAGCTACAAGGTTCCATTCTGTCCATTTTCTAGCATCATTCTTTTTCCTTTTGCCACTCAAGCATTGGAGCCAAGGGACACTTCAGGAGATGCAGAACATAAGAGTGCCCCCCCCTCCAATTTTAAGGACCATTTGGCTTAGCAGCCTCACCACTTCCTGTGCTTTGTGAATTATTTTCAACTGTGGAACTGATATTCAGTGCAAATAGATTCAGAGATGATGCTCAAATCGCTATTTTAAATTTAAAACAGGAGGAAAAAGTCGCTTATCCATGGCAATAAATATCCTGCAACCATGGCGTGCGCTGAAATTAAATGAGATTTGGAGTTTTCTTAAATCTTTTGTGTTTCTCCTTGGAAGCTAGGTGGCAGAAGGAGCCTAGGGATAAGAGAATTTGCAGCCTGAGAATTTGGATGGTGGCTGGGAATGTTAGGTGGGGGGATGCTCCAGTTTCATGACTGATGTTTTGTGGCAATTCCATGCCTGCTAAAGAAGCAGTCATGAAATTGCAACCTGACGGGTCCCCTGAAAAGGTTCCTTCGATGCATTTATTTATTACATACATAATGTTGTCATGTATAGTTGTCCCCTGGTAGTTTGCAATAAAGAAATAAAAGAGAAGCTAAAACCAGTAGTAAGACAAACAGTTCAAAATTAAAACCATCAATGCAGGGGTGAAATCCAGCAGGTTCTGACAGGTTCTGGAGAACCGGTAGTGGAAATTATGAGCAGTTTGGAGAACCGGCAGCAGAAATTTTGATTAGTTCGGAGAACCAGCAAATACCACCTCTGGCTGGCCCCAGAGTGGGGTGGGAATGGAGATTTTGCAATATCCTTCCCCAGGAGTGGGGTGGGAATGGAGATTTTGCAGTATCCTTCCCCTGTCACGCCCGCCAAGCCACCCCACCCCACCAAGCCACTGCCATAGAACTGGTAGCAAAAATTTTTGGATTTCACCACTGCATCAATGGTAAAAGCATGGTTAAGAAGTTGTTATAAAGCTACGTTATAAAGATCTGGAGTGCCTGCAGGTAAATGCCAGTTGTTGATCTTGCTAGGGGTTTGAGGGATGGGGGAATCCCACAGGAAGAGATCTTGATCATCTTCAGAACTGACCTGCTTGCTGAATTAGATACTAACTGAAGTTTCCAGACTAGAGCCAAAGGCGACCGAATGCAGAATGTATGATAATCCTTTTGGGAAGGAAATTATAACCTATAGGAAGTTAGCCTGGGAAGTTGAGAAATATATGTTGGAAGAACCCAACCCACCCATTTCTATTTTTTCCTCCCCAACATGGTGATATATGCGATGCTATCAGCAATTGAGTTTTGCCTGAAGGAAATTCTTGCTTGCCATTGGGGGCACCTGTGTACTCCTTGCTGTCACGTTGTAGGAGTACCAAGTAGTCTTCTCATTTCTGGACTTGCTCTTCTTTTCCTATGAAAAATAAGATGCTTTCCTGTATAGGGCCAATCCAGTGTCTCCCCTGCCATTGTTTTGTCATACCAGGCAGCGATTCTGGTTAACTGAGCAGCTTCTGAAAGGCCTCTATCCTTTGCATGTCCTTCTCACCTGTCCACTCTTAGCCACAGCCCAGTCATCTGTTGCTGTGCTCTCCCAATTCTTATTCCCATCAATGTCTTTTTACACATCAAAGATGCCACCGGACAAAATATTTTATATGCTTATCAGGACAGTGGTGCTGATACTGCATTCGAGGGCAGTGTTTGTCAACCTCAGCAACTTTAAGATGTGTGGACTTCAACTCCTGAAATTCCTCAATCACCATGAAATAAAGACATGGCTTTCTGATACTGCAGACATGTTTGGGATTGGCTTTACCTCTCTCTTATCAACTGATTGCCACATGG